GTATTGGCGTACTATGTTAAAGTTGCATGAACTAAACACCGGTTGAATAGAATCTGTGACCATAACCAATCGTGTACAACGTTGTATAACGCTTTTTAACAATAATCAGTACGGTTTAAGTGTAGCCATTTGAAAACAGGTCACGGAATGCAAAAATCTGCGTCCAAATGGATACACCGTATTTATGACTGCTAAAAAGCATTAAACCACGTTGTGTGTGGTGTAACGTGACAAAAACCACGTAATCTTTTCTTTACTATTTTGATCACTTAGTAGTAATTAGAATTTCTCTTTATTGATGATTGAGTACCGATTCCTAGGCCAAACCCTATTCAATGATTTTCTTTTGACAAATCTCATAGTTTATTGATTATATGATTTCACACGTACATATTATATCTTCCTTTTTTAGCGACTAAGTTTTGGACACCAATGTTATAGTATTTTTTTAATGACTATCTAAGGAATTTTCTCATAAAATATCGTTGGTCTCTCGTAGGGTTGGTTTTCTAGAGTCCACGCATCGGCAATCAGCAGCACACCCTCTGTGGTTTTTCTCCGTTTTTTGGTTTCCTATCAAACGTATCTTGTACAAGGCCACTCATTCATTTCTTTCATGAAGTTAGGTGTTAGGCATCCGTCACTTTCCTGCTAAGGTTGTTGTAAACACCAGTTTATGGAGTAGCACCTTTTTATTTTGTACCTTACGTTTAGTTGTTTTGGTTTTGTCTGGGATTTTAACATTCAGCGTGAAAGGCTTAGAGGAGAACCACCATTCACACTCCTTCAGCTTTGTTTTGTGGCTGCGTTGTAGCTGTTTTGCAGGCGGTTTTGATGGAAGCCACCCCTTTTGAACCAAGGTCTTGTAACGCTCAGTTATTGATGGATACTAGAACTTGAAAGGGTTAGAATGAATAGCAGAAGCCTGTCGATTCAGCAAACTATTCAAAACCTACTAATAGACCTAGATCACATCAATGTTGTGCACTTCAATAAACCCATGTTCCAAATTAGGAAATGAAGAACCGATACTCTTACAGGCAACGAATTCAGACTAGATAGAAGGATCCAGTCAACGATTTGTTTGTCTCCTAATTCTCGTAGTCTGTAGTGAGGATCAAGTGCACTTGACATTCCAATTTTTTGACAGTTCAGTCATTGAATTCGTATTTTGAATGTTATTTTTTAAAAAATGCGAGAGTTTGCAGATAAATGTGCTTTTAGACGATTTTAAGACATGGTGCTTCATACATAATTTGCAAAGAGTGGCACAAGTCGAAAGAAGGTCGATGTTTCCATCGTTAAGTACTATTATTATGTCACTGGCATTGGTAATCAAATGAATTGAAAGTATACACTAAAAGTTCTCAATTTTGGCAACAAATAGTACAAGGTATACATATATGTTTGGCTTCTTCTAATCTATTCGAATTCGTTTGATACAGAAAACTGGAAGTTTCAAGACAAGTTGTCAATGGAAACGATTTTAGACTAATGTGAGGTTAATTTAAATGTTATGTCTTACTTGGGTTGTTTTGTGTAAAAACGGCATTCCATTTCGCGCATATCATTTATTATAGGAAACAATATTCTTATTCTTAAACAAACTAGTAAGCAGTGATACCATTTTTATTGCAAACAAAAAATAATACGTCGAGAATTGAAGTTTTAAACATAATTCGGGTTCACATTAGAAAAATGTTCAAGTTCCAGTTCGAAGATATAGGTGGCCTTTTTGGCCAAATTTTGTATGACATTTAACCTAAAAATTCACATTGATAATGTGCATTATTGAGAGCAGGTTTTAAGGATCAGGTGTGCTTTACACGGATTCACCCTAAATCCAACACTTTAAACCATGTATATGTTCTAATCGAATTTCTCATTATCGCTTGTTTATTATACTTTCACACCTGTTACAAGTACCAACTGCCATGAGGTAAATCCTTAACATTCCAACATTCCAGCATCCCTATAGCACATGCCCAGTATATCAAACGCAATCATTATGGAGCAAGTATTTGTACTCACTAGGTATGCCGACTACAAAAAGTAAAATCGCTCATGAAAAAATCCTATATATTCGAGGGTCTTAAGAAGTTTCCCGGAACCAGCAATTTGTTGTTCAGCGATGGACAACCTCGGCATGCGGCACTTCCAGCCGAAGATTTTCCGGACATGGGAAGAAAATGGTTTGATTAGGAAGTAACATTATTGTTCGTTTCCTGTATACTTTGTTCACATTGCACATGAAATTTATCATCAAGCTAAATTGAATGTTTCCCTATGAGACATGTAATTTGTTTTACAAGAAGAAACGGTAGTTATATGAGGAAAATGATCTATAAATTAGATGCGTTAGAAACAATTTACATAGGTATGCTTTTTGCAAAGGCAATCACAGTAACTATTATTCACTGACTTTGATTGCGACAATAATCTCGTATGGTAAAGTGGATATTACACGAATATATGAAAATATGACCTAATACTCTGTTATTAGTGTCTTTTTTATACCGAAGCAGCAACGTAGGCAGAAGCCTAAGTATTGGGGCAATGTGGCTGCTATAAGGAGCCTAACGACACTTCGTGTAACCGATTTTCAAACTGCTCAAGAACTGGGAAAAGCCTCATCAGGTAGACTGTTGTGCAACCTCGACTCCTACCAGTTCTGGATGTACGAAGTTCGGCATGGTTATGACGGGTTGCCTAAGTCAGGTGGGTCCGTCTGACTGACTCATCGCGTGGATTTTAAAGAGCAAAGGTGCGAAAGGGCGGTCCGTTAGAGAAGAGTCATCGATTAGTCACAGCATCGAGCACGAATAATGTAGTCAGGGTAGCAGCACCCCAAATATGTGCGTAGTACTCGAGGCTAGGTCTTATCTGGGTCTTGTACAGAAAGTAGGCCATGTGGAGAAAAATACTTCTTAGCTCTAAAAAAATAGCCCAGCTTTTTCCCGGCCGCAATTGACGAGGTGTGTCCGTGCCAAATCAAGCCCTGGGTGATCTGAACTGCAACCAGCCGAAATGAACAGGCCTTTGGTAAAACTCGATGATCCATCGAAGCTGGAAGACCGCTAGTTAGTCAAGGCACAGTATTGTGTATTTTCCAAGCAGTGATAACCTCCAGATCTCTCGTCAGACAGGAAGTCCGTGCTGGTATTCTTCTCTCCAGCTCACCGGCAGGGATCAGCTTCGCACTTTCAACTCTTGCATGTAGAATGCTGTCATTAACAAAACTGTGGATCGGATTGATTGTACAGGAAAGGAGGTCGTTGATATATAATAGAAAAAATGTCGGAGCTAGGACCGATCTCTCAGGAACACCCATCTGCAAAGTTTGCATAAGAGGTATGCCACAACTGAACGAAAGCTTTCGTGATATCAAGAGCAACGACGTGAGAGTTATCTGTATAAGTTTACTCCACAGTTACGTGACGTATAAGCTAGGATATCCACCATTGATCGCTGGTGCCGGAAGTCATACGGCCTGTCGCCTGAATAGTTATAGTTCAAACAGGCAGAAAATAAATGTCAAGTTTCATCAGACCAGCAAAAAAGGACCCCGCGTTCATTGACATGACAATTTTCTTAATGTTGCGACACCACACCGCAATAGATGAATATTGAAGGCAACCCTCCAGGGACTTAGTCCAGGAAGTATCTTCGTATTCTCTCAGGAATATTAAGCTTTTTTGCATAATCTTGTTGTAGGGGAATAATTATAGTACACCTTTGGTTTTTAATTGCCAATCGAGCGCGCGTTCTATGTATAATCTCCTTAAGCACGAGCGAGATACACCGTACGGGTGCCGTCAGCAGCGGCGATCTTAAACTAAATATTTTCTTGTCTAGTACTCTTTTTGATAGTTTTTGCTTGAACTGACTGTGACTGATTATTATGAACAACCGTTGATAAACTTGCAGATCGTGAGTACAATAATGTTCCAGCTGTATGATGTCAAACATTCTTTAATTATGCAATACCGGTTATATTATACGTATATTCATACAGTTCCTCTTGGTGGGTTCGTTCGCTAACTCTAATGACAAATGCTACAGCCTACACCCTACTGTTAAATACTTGCTTGAAGGTTGAGATGACACTCAATCTCAACTCTACTAAGCAAAAAAGCGTATGGATCACAAGTTCAACCAATCAGAAGGCGCTTTTGAAGAAATGGATCTAATAAATATGGTCGATTCCTTGTAAAATGTCATGACTCGGACTTACGTTTTAACTTCCATCTGAATAATGTCTTGAAAAATTGTTATCTATCACCCAGGCTTCTATTTGCAAACAAACATTTTCTGCATAAAAACATCAAAACTAAATTGTGTCAAAGTTCAGTTATTTCTAAGATGTTATAGGGTATCTGTACCAAATAAGGCCAAGCACCTAATAAGGCTATGCGTCGATTTTACAAAAACTATTAACATTTAAAATTAAAGATTTCTGCAGTTCTACAAGTTTATTGAGAGCAGTTAGCAGAAATAAAATCAGCAGCTGTGGAGCGGCGCTAGATGGCGCAGTAGGACAGCGTCGGTTTTCAACATGTGCATAGAATTTCTGCTTTAAATTTGTCTCCGTTTTTGCATGTTGTGGGATACTTTTTGCGGAATCTCTTGTTAATTCAATCGGTAAGTTTATAAAGCATATGCAGGTAGTTATTTGCTGTTGCCAGGTTTTGAATGATTCCAATTTTGTAAATTGTATATTAAAGGTTAGACGTGCGTAATAAGGCCATGTTAAATGGTTCCCAGAAGAATAAATACGAAAACTGGTACTGCTTCAAGTGCGATAAGTATGAAATACGTGACATGCGTCTGTTTGTAATATGCTTAAGATATGTCCAAGAGGAATTTGTAGGCTTGTGTAGAGGTGATAAGGTGTCATTTGTTTGTCATCAATGCGAAGGCAAAAACAAGCTGATTTTTTTACTTGAAGTCTATCTGGATTTAAGAACTATGGTCTGTTGTTAATTAGAAATAAGGTAAGTGTACCAAACATTGCCACCTTAAGAGTTATTGCCATAAATAATTTTCATTTTTCACAGTAACGGAATAAAAACTGAGATATACACAGAGAAATATATTTTCTATAACATATGTTTCAGGCATTTCAATAGGATGAATACAAATGGACTTATCGTAGTTCTTTATTAGAATATCTGGTGACAATATTAAGCTTACCAGTGCTCCTATTATTGCCACATAGTATGAACATTAAAAACATTCAGTAAAATTAACAAAATATTGAAAAATAACACTTTAAAACTCATAATCGTAGATGAAAATGGTAGGTACTTGAAAAATTTTCAACTACAACAGGGACAAATAAATATTTCTTTATCTTCTTTGGTCAATCCTATGCAAGCTTCATGAACATATCGGTTTCAAGCCACGCATAAGCGCATGTCTTCTTTACGGCACGTACTACAAAGGTAACAAAACCAAGAGTCGGCCTCTCCTGGACTATTTTTGTCAGTGATATGTATAGCTGTCCCATGTTTCTTATTTGCTTTAGCTTTATTTTGAGCAAATAAATCTTTAGTGACCTTTTGAGCTTCACTGTTCAATGCAGGCTTTCTTTTTGTCGTGGGTACTTTGATTTCGGGAGTAATGAGTAATCCTGTAGCCGTGAATGAATTGTCTGGAGGTGAGCTTGTGGCTGTTTTAGAGACAATATTCTCTCTATTTTTGAGAAGTATGAGTGGAACTTCATCATCGCTATCAAAAGAAGTGTTTGGCGGTTTATTTTTTACGGAAAATGAGCTTTTCTTATGGCATTCGTTTAATCTGTCCACGTTGATATTTTGGTGTTTCCAAGTAGCCAAGGGTTCATCTTCACTAGAAGTGTTAGCGGATGTATCATCATGTAGACTAAAGTCCGATAATGACTCGCTATCTGAAGAATATGCTTCACGATATATTTTTTTTGCTTTCTTGTTTTGTAACAGTCCTTTATTCCCACTTGTACTTGCCTTAAATATATTATTCATCGATGCGGATGATTCGGAACTCTCGGTCCTGGCTACAGTATTTTGAAAACTGAGTTCACGATTTTCTTTGTCCTCTTCTCTGTAAGAAATTGCACTTGGTGCGTAAGCAGACTCAGGTAGTGCATCCGGCCTGAATGGGTATATCCCTGTGGCTCTAAACCCAGTCGTGAAAATTTCTCCAAATCTAATTTTAGTCAAGGTCTTGCTAGGGTTTGTTGTTAGAAAGTGCAGAACTTCTTGATCCAAAAATGTTTCAAAGCTTCTGAAAACGCATTTGTCCATGGGCTGCAACTCATGAGACGTGTTACTTGGAAGACAAAATATCGTTATGTTCATGCTATCGGATGCTTCAACTATTGAAATATCGAGATGACATTTCGCGCCATCAAAGATTAATAGAGTAGGACCAGGGTTTTTGAAGGAAGCAAAGTGCTTTAACCACAAAACAAACGCTTCGCACGTCATACTACCCTTTTTTGTGACAATACAATTTTGAGCCTGGTGGTAAGTGATCAGACCATTCAGGTTTCAGTCTTTGACCTTTGAAAAGGATAAATGGTGGCACAGACTGACCTAGCGCATTTCCACAACCTACAATTGTAACGTTCTCGCCATGTTCAGGAGCAGTTAAATGTACGCGCTTAGACCCTCTCTTAGCTAGTACAATTTGCTGATTGTGTATTGTTAATCTGCATCCCTTCTCGTCTATGTTGTATATGTTACCTGGTTTGTCAAACAAGCCCATATTTTCCATAACCTCCTTTAATTTGCTGAAGCAATCACCAACTATATGATTATTTAGTTTTTGAGCACGCGCAATGTTCATTTGTTGTGCCCTCCGGCGAGATACTTCAGGATGTCTAGTTAGGAACAGCTTCAACCATTTTCTTCCAGCACGTTTTGATTGCTTCGAAAACGGATTCGGTATGGTGTTTTCACAAACGTAGGTATATACTCTTTTCATCAAAACTTTGCTAGTAATAGGCATTCCGACTTCAGATAATCTATGAATTCTCGTAGCAAGATCATTTTCTTGTTTCAGAGACAGAACTGAAGACCTTCCAAGCTTCTTTTAGAAATTTTGTTTTCTATGATGTAGTCCTAGAGTTGTTCGGGGAATTCCATACCGCTTGGCAGCACTTTTGATTGACGTGCCATTTGCTATGGCCAGTAATGCTGAGTGGAGGTCCGCTTCTGTCCAGAATGCCCGTGTCTTTGGCATTCTGGAATGAAAAATTCGTGCATTTTCAAATAACATAGCTGAATTTTCTGAATTCTTGCTTGAATCCTAATATTGCCATTGGTGCCTCTAATATTGCCACTGGTGGTCCTAATACTGCCACTGGCTGTATTAGGTATAACATTCTATGGCAATATTAAGAACAAATGCAATGCAGAAAACATTTCCATTTATATTTAGAAAAACATACAGAATCAGATACATAACCTGTGGAACAATAACTATAAATATGCACCTACCTGCAGCAGTATAGAAATTTGAACAGTAATGTGTTATAATTGTGCACACGCCAGGCAATGAAATGATTTTCTTATAACAGAGAACTAGAACAATTTTTGGCGCGCATCCACACCAGACGCTTAACCTCAACTGAAACCGATAACGTGGTAAGTAATACATGGCTACCCCAAAAGACGTTCCATGTTGCCAGATTTCATATAATGTCTGAAAAATATGCGCTTCCTGGGGTGGCGTTATTAGGATCTATGGCCATATTTGGTAAACTTACCTTATATCTTCGTTTATTCAACAGTCTTGTTCTATATTTTGAGCGTGGCTTTATTAAAAACCAGATCATGGCCTTATTTGGATACCTGGGTTCCTAATAAGGCCAACGGTAGTGTTTCAAAAAATATATATTTTTTAAATGAAAAGAAAAGTTCTCGGAGCTCTCCGATACAGCTTGTTCACTGAACATACCTATAATAATACCTTTAAAATTGCATGATGTTTTCGCAAACATTTATGAAGTTACATCTATCCAAACGTTAACGTGGCCTTATTTGGTACAGGTACCTCATTATATATTACCATTGTCTGACGTCTACTAATGCAAAACCTTTGCAAGTCATGCAGAATACCTGTGTAAGGTTTATCGAAGGCCTAAGAAAGTTCGATCATGTATCAGATTTGTATCGTAATCTTGCATGGCCAAGCGTTCAAAACCTTATCAAATACAGTGAAAGCTCTCCTTGCGGACAGCTCCTATAAGCGGACATCTCTTTTAACCGGACAAAGTTCCTGGAACCGAATTTCAGCCATCAATTTTCAATGTTAAATGCATTCCGATAAACGGACGCTCTTATAAACGGACGCGGACACTAGATTTTCCTGTATGTGATCAAAAAATCTCCCATAAGCGGACGCGAAACTCTAATACCCGGATTTTTTAGTTCCGCTTATTGCAATGCACATATCTACATACATAAAATTCGGTAATTCCCCGATTTATATTAGGTGATTCCCCATTTACGCATTTCGTTGGGTAGCCTGTATGTAATCTTGTGGCTTGTCTTCAGTTCAGGCAAATTCGTAGATGATTGAGTTACGTATTTTATTATTGTAACTGTAAAATGGCACCAAAAAAAGGATGCTCTCGTTAAAGGAAAAGATGGAAGTTGTTAACGTATTAGACAGAGAAAGTGTTTCAGTTCGTCATTTGGCAAAGAGGTTTAATATTGGGAAAACGCAAGCAGCTGAAATTGCCAAAAATAAGGAAGATATCAGGAGTAAATGGCAATCAGGAACTAATATAGATCAAAAGAAGGATTTTTTAAAAAAGGAAGGTTTTGCTATAGACAAAACATGTTTTGAGTGGTTTGTGAAAGCCAGAAGTCAGAACATTCCAATCTCAGGGCCGTTAGTGAAAATGAAAGCTAAAGAAATCGCCACTACTTTGGGCTATAATAATTTCAGTGCGTCCGACGGGTGGCTGCAAAAGTGGCGCAAGAGACATAGTGTGAGTTTCAAATGCATATCTGGCGAAGCTGCTGCAGTAGATCAAGTTGATGTGTCACAATTTTTGGAGAAACTTCCGTCCATGTTGCTTGGCTACAAACCAGAAGATGTGTACAACGCAGATGAGAGTGGACTTTTTTTTCGCGCATTGCCCGACAAAACTCTGTCCTTTAAAGGAGAAACATGTGTGGGTGGAAAGTTGTCTGAAGATAGACTAACCATTTTATTCTGTGCAAATATGGCCGGTGAAAAATGCGATTTGATTGTGATCGGGAAAGCGGCTCGTCCCCGTGCTTTAAAAAACGTTGCTATTAAGGATCTACCAGCGACTTGGAAATCCAACAAAAAGGCATGGATGACCCGAGAAATCATGTTGAGTGGTTAGTCGAATTCGACCGGAAAATGAGAATCCAAAAAAGGCAAGTTCTTTTATTTTTAGACAATGCATGCTCTCATCCTCGTGATATGAAAATGAAAAATGTGAAAATTATATTTTTACCGCCAAACACAACTTCTGTTTGTCAGCCCATGGATCAAGGTGTCATACAGAACTTTAAATTTTATTATCGGCACTTGATTTTAAAACATATTTTAACAAAAATTGACGATGGTCAAAGCTTATCTGAGCTTACAAAGTCTATCAATGTGTTAGAAGCTTTGTATTTTATAAAAACAGCATGGAATAAAGTAAATTCCTCTACAATTAAAAACTGTTTTGGCAAAGCTGGATTCAGAAAAAGTGAATGTAGCTCAGAATTTGCTGAGCAAAATTATTGCGATGCTGAAGACGATCTGCCCTTAGCGACACTTGCTCAGTTACTGCGACATGCCAAACATTTAGGAGTAGCAGATCCCCAGAAAGTAGATGATTTCCTGGCCATAGACAATAACATAACAACAGAAGAAAATGCCATTGGCAACTTTTCGAATTTGGATGTAGAAAGCCCAGGCCAACTTGAATATGGTAGTCCAAACGACTCAGAAGAAGAAGTGGAACTGGTGGACTCACTAAGCGGTTCAAAAACGATAAATTCATATGGGGAAGCTCTAAATCATATTTCTATATTGAAAAAATTTGCTAAAGATGATTTCACTGCATTTCAACATTTGAAAAATTTAGAAAGTTATTACGAAAATTGTCTCCTTCAGCAAAAGATGGTGAAATTTCGTCAGACAAACATTTTAAACTTTTTTCAACAAGCTAAAGAATAATGTTTTTTTAAATTCTCGTACCATGTATTGAAGCATTTATGTTTTGTATGCGTATATGTACATATATTATATAGATATATAGCATAAATACATACTTTAAAAATGTGGCGAGTTTCTGTTTCATTTTTCTCATGATTATAATACCTCATTGCCTCATGATTATATACCCCGTTATTTATACTCTATACTTACATACTCTCTTTTAAACGGACACCTCCCATAAGCGGACAAAAGTTACGGAACCGTGAGTGTCCGCTTATGGGAGCTTTCACTGTACTCCATTCTCAGCATTACTCACAGGATCATACTAACAACATCTCAATAAAAACAACACCTCAGTTGTTTCAAGGGCGTCTGTGCATAATCTTCAGGTTCGGAACCATTACAACTTAACTATGCCAACTCATCGCACAACACTTTTGAGAAGATCTTTCACTTACAATGCAATTTTATCTTACAATAGCTTAGGCCAGGATCTGAAGACTATCCAGTCTTCCCGGTGTTTTAAAGTACAGTTAAAAAGATATTTACAAGAATTGCAAAACAACCGCTAGCTTAAGATCTTGCATTTTCTTGCTTTTTTTATTTATGATCAGCTATTTTTCCATTTCATCATAACCTACTATCTTTCCTTCTTTTTATAGCTAATTGACATTACTCATTCTATTGTTTTGTGACTTAACCATATATTTTCACATTTTTTGTTTTTTTTTTCTATTTGTATAACTTGTTTTTTTTTTACTTTTATACGGGATTAGATGGTGAAATAGCAGGTGCTAAATCGCGCCCCCATGTAATGTACAATATTTTGGTCAATAAATTATTATTAAATACATCATCAATCACTTGATTTAGCTTCAAAAACGTATTTTCTCATTTGTGTCCGGACATTAAATTAGCTGCCATGGTTATCAAATGCACCAATGGAAAAGGATCATTTGCGCCGTACTCGAAACACAAATCTTTTACAAAAACTACATTGATATGACAGAAATTGAATGAGCATTCTATTTAAAATAATATGTGATACATGAAGTATTTGTTTATTTAATATGAGAACTAGGAACCCGTCTTGCACAAATTGTATAATTTTTTCCTAGTGTTGATTTTGATACCCGCGGATCAATAGTAAGATCGAGCCCAGAGTGACTATGCTTCCAACACGTCCTTCTCTTCCTATTCATTCACACACTAAAAACAATTTTTGATGTAATATCATTGTCCAAAAATATTTCAGTAATTTAGGGCAACATTGAATCATTACAACATAAGAACTAAACTATAAATCGCATATACTTTTATTCCGGGCGATAAGTTAAAGTCGATCAAATCGAAAAATGAGTAGCGCTATACCAAGCGACCATTTACCTTCACCGACATACTCAATTCAGATCTTGCAGCCACAACTAGACGCTACCAATTGATTTATTCTGCTGCACTGGACTTTCTCCTTCCTTTTCAGTTGCTGTGATAAAGTCTATAAATTTTGTATCGGTTGTTAACCTGACAGCCGTGGACTTTTCTCGTTAACACCTTAGGTGATACGGTTTTTGCGGCTTGGAAATACGAAAGGTAAATTCAGAGAAAGGGCATGCGGGACATGCGACGAATAGATAGCATTCCGAAGCGCGAAAGAGATTTTCTGTATAGCCAGTAAAAAATGGCATCACATAGACTGACTCTGTGCTTCTCATGCAATTCTGGACAAATGGACTTTGAATATACAGCATGTAGGTATAGTCTCTAAGTCAACTTTTTTACGTTCTTATTACCTTTACTATTGGCCCGCCATGGAAACCCTTTACAACTGGTGATGTTATAGAATGAATGTAACTGAAATGCTCATTTTTTTTTTAATAATAGGCTGTAACTGCTCGAATACGAGGGCTACTGTTAAAGTAAGAACAAATTGCGCATCGTGCCCGCGCATCCCGCCACGTGACGTCCGTTCAACCTCGGACACTCTTGGCCAGTCGGTCATTACGCCTCCGATACGCTTTACCGCTCTGACGGTGTTGGTTGAGTTGTTATACTGCTTTGTTTGTCACCATGTCATTCAGTAATCCCGCCTAGGTGCGCTCAGTAATTCAATTCTTGTTAAATTATGGGCGCTATTCAAAACCGCCTGGCCGCGGGGCCTGCTCTACTACAAGGCTCCACCTCACAAGGCAAGAACACAGACGCAACTGGACAAGTTTCGTTTTGAATCATCCACCATACAGCCCTGACTTAGCACCATACACTTCTTCCTTCAAAATATTTTGATGGAAAGCGCTTTGAAAACGATGACAGTGGAAGAAACAATGACTAACTGGTTTAACAGTCAGGTGTCACGTTCTTTGACAACTTGATCTAACATCAGGTACCTTGACTTGATAAACGTTTTTGATGACTATTTTGAAAAATTAAAAAATATTCATATTTTGATACAATTTATATTGATAAAGAAA